ATGTAAGAGAAAGAGAGACAGCAAGGATGACACTATATCTAACCACCTATTGTACATCTTTACCTGGATATCCATTATACAATGCAAACTCATGTGTCTAAAAATAACTCTGTAGATCTATGTAGTAATCTTGATAGATTTGTTACATGATCTTTGTGGTAGGCTGGATAACGCCCTTTCAATATGTCAACAGAGATTTTGCAGATGCAGTTAATATTAACATCTTGAGGTGAGATATTATCCAGATGGGTGAAATGAAATCACAAGTGTCCTTATAAGAAGTGTCAGGAAATGATGGAAGCATAGCCAATGAAAATGTGACTGCAATGACAGCTTTGAAGATGGAAAAAGAGGACACAAACCAAGGAATGCAGGCAGCCTCTGGAAGCTGATGAAAGAAGACATTCTGCCCCAGAGCTTCCAGAAGGAACCAGTCTTGCTGACACCTTGATTTTAGCTCTATAGCCTCATTTTGGACTTCTGTCCCTCAGAACTATAACATAATAAGTTTACTGCTTTAAGCCACTAAGTTTGTGGCAATTTGTTACAGCAGCAAGAGGAAACTAATACAACCATAAGCCAGTCTCCAAATTTAGAAATCTGAAGGTTGACTCTTTTCTCTCTTTGATTTTCCACTCATTGTATCTTGTTATTTATATGTAATAATATCTCTTACCTATAGCTGTTGTTTTAGTTTAAGTCCTCATGATAATTTACCTGGACAATTGTGATAGCAATGAGTGGCTAGAGGTTTGAGGGTTTGGGATAGGGGAATGGTACAGTGGAATTAATTCTGCCCATCAGACTATTTTATTTTTTTCTGGTTAAAGCACTTTACTGATTACAATATCAATTCACAGCCAACATTATTTCACAGAGCTACTGTACAAATAAGTCAATGAATCACTGTGCAAGGAAGATCCAAGAATACTGTTAAATCATGGGACAAATCCATCATATGTTTGGTTTAAAGTCTAGTACATTAACCTTTCCCATAATCATACTACTAATGTTTTAAATATACATATACTTTAAGTTGGAACAGTGTGCCTGCTATAAAAATTCAGTTTCAAACTACTCCTCTAACTATTTCCTCCTTTTCAATCAGATTACTTCTTCCAGTCCTGCGTATATAGAAATTCTGGAGCTGTCATTGTACCTGGAGTGTTTGAACAGCCTACTAATTGATTTCTCCACCTCTTGCCCTAGCTTCCCCTTCCACAATCCATTTTTCAAATAGGAGGTGATAAATGTTTTCAAATTACAAGTCTGACCTTCACTGGTTGGGCATCACCCATAGTATAAATTTTAAATTCCTTAATATGGCCTACAAAGTCCTTCAAGATTTTATTGCTAGGCGTCCCAACTCACTCTAGCAATGCTGAATTGCTATAGTCACTGAATATAACATGTTTGTGTTTCCTTTGGCTTTAGTTATCTTTCTGTCTGCCTAAATTACATTTCTTCAAGAAAAAGGCAATGGAAACTCCCTTTCATCTTTGAAAAATCAAGATATTACCTTTTCTAGAGAGCCTTCTCAGATACCTGCTCCTCCCCAATAGTGTTAACAATGTCCTCTGTTCTACCTGTACTTGCTTCTATTTTGGTACTTGCAGTGTGATTATAACTTTTTATGGCTTCCTTACTAGTCTAAACACTCTCCAAAATGAGAAAAATACAGGGTCTGGCACAAATAACACTTCTTTTTCATTACAAGATCTTTTATTACAAAATCATAAGCATGTAATTCTGTAACAACAATATCACACTCAAGCACACCACATGACATTTTACGTGAACTGTTCAAATTAAAACTATAAATTATTACATCCATATTATTACCCTGCCAACCACACTCAAACAGGCATTACCTCTGCCCTGTATTTCTACTTCAGTTTTTTATTTCCAACAGATAACACAGTGCCTGGCACTTGAAAAAATGCTTAATATAAATGATTATTGTTATTTTAACTGAATGAGATCAACTTTTTTTAACCACTAAATGTCTGTCATACAGTATTACTTAGATCCTTTTTTTAATTCTCTTTTGATGACATTTTTAAATTGTTTTTAGAGAAAAAGTAAGGGAGAGAGAGAAATGTCAATGCAAGAAAGAAACATTGATTGGTTGCCTGCCATAAGTGGGGAGGCAACCTGCAACCTAGGTACATGCCCTGACTGGGAATCAAACCAAATAACCTTTTGTTTACTAGATGATGTTCTGACCAACTGAGCCACACCAGTCAGGGCCATTTAGGATCTTTATTGCGGGTTTGTTGTAAAAATGAACAAACTTATGTTCTATTCTCTCCTTAATTCTATCTCCTCTCCTTCAGGGACCTATCATACACTTCATTGTTAAAATAGGGAAATTATCAAACTGGTTTATATACAAGGGTGGGTAACCAAAGAATAATGCTGCTATAGAAATAGAAGATAACAGAGTAAAAGAAACTTAAGGTATTCATTATGAGGACATAATAGCTGTGTTTAAATATCTGAGAGGTTTTTATGGTGGAGGGAGATTAAGTAGACTGTTCTCTAGAGCTCTGGGCCAGAATTAGAGAAATGGAGGCAGAATCGGTACACTTTGAGGAAGAAGAATATAATAACGCTGCAGAAAATTTCACTTTTTCATTCAACACAATCTTGAGTGAGCACTTGCTATGAATCTGCCCAGTTCTAGGCACTGAGGATTCAGTGCTGAAAAAGTAGTCAAGGCTCCTCCTCTCGTGGAGCTTACTTTTAGCAAGAGTAGATAGTGAACAAACAAATCAATGAAAAAAAGAAAGAACAACAGCAAATAGAGTGATCAGTGTTGAGATTTCAAATAGAGTGCTATAATGACCGAGTAACTAGATGGTGTGACCAGGGAAGGCCTCTTTGAGGTGACATTTATACTGCAATCCAGCTGGTAAAAAGGAGCTAATGGTGGGAAAACCTGAGTGAGTTAATTTTTTCAGGCAGAGAGAAGGTCTTCAGGCAGGCAGGTATTAACTTGATGTTCAAGAAACAGAAAGAAGTGCTTGTTGGAATAGAGTGTTTAAGGGAGAGAATGACATGGGATTGAATTTGGGAGAAATAGGGGCCATCAGGTAGGACTTTTAAAAATGTGTATTGAATTTGAATTTTATCCCACTTGTAGACAGAAAACTTTAGAGGACTTTAAGTGTGAGTGATATTACCTATTTTACATTTTTATAAGGCCACTGAGGTTTCTGAGTCAAGAGTAAATTATAGAGGTTGAGAGGGAAGAGTGGAAGCTGGAAGACTTTTATAGGAGTCTATTTCAGTTGCCCAGGCAAGCTGTTTATTTTTGTGAAGTCTGAGGTTCATCATAGAGGTGTCAAGCAGACAGCCTAATAAAGGAGGAGTCTGGAGCTCACAGTCAAGAGGAAAAGATCTGGGAGTCTTTGGCACATGACTATTTATAGTCATGGGACTGAGTAAAACCCCTGGTGAAAAGAATATGGCTGGGGAAGAGAAGAATCTTTGCACAAAGGAATGGTTTGCCCCAGGAGACAGTAAACTCACTGCCACTAGAGTCGTTCAAGCAGAACGCAGGCTAACAGCAACCAGGGATGCTTTACAAGGGGTTCTTGCCTGAGGGGTTTGCTAACGAATTCTTAGGCTTCATTCTGTTCTAAAATTCTATGATTCTGAAAGGCCCTAACAATGTTTTGGTGTGTAGAATTGACCTGCAGTGTGGATGCATCGCAGTTAAAGGTTGTTAATTTAAAAACTGCCACTTAAGACAGTTGTTAATGGTACTCTGACATATCCCACTGCATGTTTTTCTTCCTTTCAGTTTTCCCCTCTTACCCTCTTATTTAATTTTTAAGAACCTTTCTTCCTCTGTTTTACTCCATTTTTCTTTTTCATGCGCCAGCCAGGGATGCACATAGTCATTACTTAGCTCAGCTAGTGACACTGTGTTAGAAGCTGCTGACCTCTGCTGTAGTTACAAATATAGTGGTCCTTAAAACAACCAAAAAGTGCTATTTTGGGGTTTTACTTATTGGTATTTTATACACAGCAATCAGTTCCTGTACTTGGTTGATCACTAAGGAAAGCAACCCAGTTCTCCAATACCACTATGATGCACAATCAAGAAAACAGCTCAGCTTCAGGCAGAATCTAAATTGGCTTAGTCTTTAGCCGTATCTGTATTGTTTTTCATTGTATACATGCTTCTATCACGGTGCCTTACAGTGCATCATACATAGGAAGGTGATAAATAACTTCTGAATGAATGAACAAATGCACGTCTAATCAAACCAATACCTAAAACTGAAGAGTCAATTGAGGTTAGTGCAAACTAAGTAGTGTTAGACTCTATGCTATGAACTCTACAAAGAGTTCACACTGGAGATTTATTTTTACAAGATCCTTAGTGGTATTGCCTAGATTGCCTAGGCATGTCCAGACTAGATTGCCTAGACTGACATGTCCAGACTATGTGAAAGTTTGGTTCTATATGAGACTGAAGCAAATATTTGACTTTCACTGTGCTCAATTTCTGGGGAATTTGGGGTCAAATTTATCAATGTTTAACATACAAATAGGGAATAAGTGTGTTTAATAAGTATTATTAAGTGAATTTGTGTGTATATTCTGAATTATTCTTTGAAAGTCAATTTATTTTGAATATTAAATTTATATATATAATAGTTATACATTCTCAGTATGCTCAAAAAGAAGAGATCACAGTATTACACAAAACAATGAAGTTATCTAACATTGCATTACCTTGAGCATTGACATGCCAGTGTTACAGAGCAGAACAACTAGTTATTTACTGGTACATAATAATACAAGTATAGGTAAAAATTTATTGAACAAACAGGAAGGGACGAAGGAGTGAATACATGAGCATTCAAGTCAGTATTTCTTATCTATATATAGCCACTATGCATATTCATTTTAGAAACAGTAGCAATAGTGTAATCGCCTAAATAAAATCTCTCTCCTTATGCGGTGAAAACATACGAAACCATTACCTCCATATCAGTGCCAGGTTACAGCTTCTGTCTTGAACATAGTCTTTTGTCTTCTTGAGAAGCAATTCCACAAAGTCAGGATTACCTTTTCTGGCAAAAACCCAATACAGAATTGTATTCACACATATTTCAGTAAATTCAAGATTAAAATTTAGTTCAAAACGGTATCCTGATTTTTCCACAAATGCAATATAATCTGTGAGCAGTATGTCAAACCCATCCAAGTCGACATACCTCAGGATTTTTGCCAGTGTTCTGTAAATTCGAGGTTCGTAACAGTGATATCCCCATTGACCCAAAAACTGCAAGGATGGTCTTTTAACAATTTTGTCAACAAGATTGCAGAATATATTGCTTCTTGGGCAAGAAGTCTTACGACATATTTTAGAAGATTTACTCATTGCTACTTAAGGCGATGATCTACAAATAAATTCATAGGAAGTCATATTGTAACCCTTCAGTTACATATTTTGATAATGAGGTAGGCTTCACTCTGCAAACAGGAAGTGCCCTTTAAACTGTGGCCAGAAAAATATCATACGAGCGATTACCATAGAGTACTGGATGACATCACAATAGATGGAGATCTGTCATCAGCATAAGTCAGTAATTTGGAATAATATATGTAACTGATGACATTTGAGAGAAATGCTGTGCAGAAATGGCATGTGTGAGAGTTAAGATACAGTATTCTTAATTTTCTAAGAACTCAGCTCAAGAGAGTATGCATGCTTATCAAGTGCTATAAGTATGGTCTATACATTAGACAAAATAATACTAAGTCAGATTGATTATTCTTTTATGCTATCATGTAAGTAAAGAGCTTGTAACTAGAATGTGAAAGTCCAATACTGTTGTTCTCATGTTCTGTATCAGAACTGCATGTTCTCACTGAATACTCATTGAATATTTTCCCTATTTTATAGTTGAAGAGACTATTTTTTTTATAGTTAAAGTAACCTGCTAATAGGCACTATACTAATTCTTAGAAAAGGTGTCATACAGTATGAAACAAAATATGAAACAAAATTTGTAAACTTTATTTTCAAATTTTATGTTTGATAGAGATTACTTCTCTATAAATTAAGCAGAATATATACAATTTGGCCACTAAAGGAGCTTCAAGTTTTATGTGGTATCCTTGCTGGGTAAAGTAAAGGGGAAATATGTTGTGGTTTTATCCTTATTTAGTAGTTTATGCTTCAGCCATTTTTATGTTAAATTTAACACTTGGGTGTATTTATGAGCAAGTTTAAAGGTATTTTTTTCCTTTTGCAATTTTTTAAAATCACATAAATAATGTCTCTTTAGTATAAGGAAGTTATTATTTTGGGTTTACTATAATATGCTTCCACTAATAATGCACTTAATTCTCTAAACTCTAAGCTCTCTTTTCCCAGCATAGCATGAAAACAAAATATTGTCATCTTTCTGAAAACTTAGAGTTTTGTTGTTTTCCTATACTTTCTCTTTTTATTTTCTCTACCTCAAAAATATATTTTTAAGTTGAACCATTTTTATTGATTTCTTAATAATACTGTACATGAAGGTTGTAATATTTGAAACATTATAAAGCCAGTATAAAGTCTCTCCCCTATAATCATGTCAGCAGTTTATGTATAGCCTTTCAAATATTTTTATGCTTATATGGCAATAGATATATTATTATTTATTTTGTTCTTCTTTCCTACAAAAGGGATATTATTACACATAACTGGTTCTATGAGCTGCTTTTTACTTATATAACAACATCTCATAGTTTTATTTGTATGTTCATATATATAATAAGAAACTCTTACGTACCACTTACTACATACCAGGTACTATTCCAGTACTTTATGTATTAACTCCTTTGATCTTTTTTCTTTTACAACAACTACACTTCACAGATAAGGAAGCGAATGATCTGTCCAGTGAGTGGTAAAGCTGGGATTTGAATCAGACTGGCTGATGCCAGAAGCTTCACCTTTAGTCTCTCTGCTTCTCTAAAAAGAGAAAGCTGCCTTGCCATTGTTATGACTAGCTTATGACTAGAGATCATGAAACAAGAGCTCTGCAATTAATCCTGCTTTTAGAAAGAATTGTTATTATTAAAGTAATAACAATGTATAAAATTTCAGTGAAGTTTTTCTGTATAATTTATGATTTGAATGTCAGTGAGTGTGCATATTTTTCTATTCAGAAAAAATAAGTCATTTCCATTTTGAATATAATAACCAGAACATATTAAGTCAAAATTGGTGCTGCTTTATTTAGTTTAAAAAAATTATAGTTACTAATGGTAAACAGCAAAGACATATTCAGTAGACCGTGTACTGATTAATAATGACAGTCAACACACATTGAGTTCTTACATACTCATGGTATTACATGTGCCTTATATGCATTTTCTCATTTAATCCTCATAATTCTCTACTGTTACCTCCAGTTTATGGTTGAGGAACCTGAGATTTAGATTAGTGAAGACACTTGCCAGAGGTCATACATCTAGTGAGTAGCAGAGGTCTGGACCGAGGCTGAGCCCGCAGTCCTTTGTCTCTGAGCGTGGCTGCCTTCCTGCTTCGTGTGCAGTAACTCCTGCTCCAGACTGTCGCTTATCCATCTTATGTTCATGGAAGACCCTTAGGAAAATCACGAAAAGTCTAATGACACTGAAAATGTGTTTACCAGCTTTAATAAATGTCCTGATTTAAAGAAAGATGTTCCATACATTATATGCAAGTAATTGAAAAATTGTGACTTTACCTAAATGTCTTACTATGTTTTTTAGTGCTTAAGGCTGAATAACCTAAGCATAGATTGCAGCATGTTGATCTCTATGAGCTGTGAATAAGCCAAAAGCATATACGTCCCAAATGCGGTCTGAAATTCCTGCTCAATTTTTCCTTTAAGTCAGGGTATTTCAGGCCTAGGAGTTACCTGGAAAGCTTACACTTGAACCATTATTACTCATTAATCCTTTAAGTAAATTTATTTTTATTAGATTCCTAAGCCTATAATATGCCTGGGCTCAGCACAGTTACATATTGTTAAGGAGGAACCATATCAGGAAAATCTGGAGCAATGCTTAAGGATCCAGAAAGTACAAAGGATGTGGCCTAGTTGTACTGGATAACTCTGACTAAGGGGAGGTGCATGGACAAACTCGGCCTGCTAAGTAGTTTCACCAGAGCTGAGCTCCGCATGTGAGTCACGGATGAGGGACATGTCCCTACAACCTCAGCAAACTATAAATCAAATGTCAGGATTATATATGACTATATAATCCTTTATATAAATGATTATATAAAATCATTGTTTGTAAAAGTTTTATCTATTCCATAAAGTTTATATTAGCTCTTTGCCAGGCTTTACTATTCTCAATACCATTCATCTCTAATATTTATTTACATATTTAAAAGTCCAAAGTTAGAATTGAGAGAAGAGAGAATTCCTGACTTTTAAGTGTGGGTAGGGATAGTGTGCATTTCTAAAGGTACAGTGAAAAACACATGTACATATTATATGATGCCTTAAATGTGTATTTAATATAGTTTTGTGTCAGCTTTAAAGGGTACCTTAAAATATATGGCAACCTGAATTTTTACTCTTCTATTTATGAATTGAGGCAACCATCCAGGAACACTTTGAGTCATAATCGTGGCTCCCTCAGACTTTTGGCCTGCACAGCACTGTGGTTGTCAGGCTTGTTTCTACCTCATGGCAACCACTCAAATTTTTAACTCAATTGTTAGGCATGAATTTTAACTAAAATTTTTGAGCTAGGCTATTTTAAGCCATATATCCTGTGCTATCTTGTACGTGAATTGTCCTTGGGACTATGTTACTGATCAGGCTAGTCAGCTGTGGCTAGGGAAGACAGTACCACAAAATATGTAGGACAGTCATGCATCATAGACAGGGATGCATTCTGGAAAATGGATCATGAGGTGACTTCATTGCTTGACCAACACAGTGTGCACTTACGCAAACCTAGATGGTGTAGCCTATTGCTCCTAGACTACAAACCTGAACAGCATGTTACTGTACTGAGTACTGTAAGTAATTGTAGATTGATGATAAATATTTGTGTATTTAAACATAGAAAATGTTCAGTAAAAGTGTGACATAAAAGAGAAAAAAGTGGTACACCTGTACAGGACACTTACCATGCATGCAGCTTGCAGGACTGGCAGTGGCTCTGGGTGAGTTTTGGAGTGAGGGGGAGTGAGTGCGAAGACAAAGGACTTCACTGTGCACTACGGTAGACTCTTTAAACACTGTACTCTTTGCCTACACTAAATTTTTAAGAAGATTATTCTTTCTTTAATAATAAATTAACCTGAGCTTACTGTAGCTTTACCTTATAAACTTAAAACACGAACACATTGTACAGCTGTACAAAAATATTTTTCTTTATATCCTTATTCTATAAGCTTTATTCTTACTCTTTAAATTAAATTTTCTTAGTCTTTAAAGTGTTTTTGTTAAAAACTAAGACACAAACACATACATCAGCCTAAGCTGACACAGGATCAGGATCATCGATGTCACTGTCTTCTACCTCCACATCTTGTTCCACTGGAAGGGCTTCAGGGACAAATGCACACATGGAGCTGTCATCTCCCATGGTGACAGTGCCTTTTTCTGGAACGCCTCCTGAAGGACCGGCCTAAGGCACTTCTTGAGGAGGTGTCACTTTTTTCAGACATGTTTTTACTGTGGTTTGCTTGATTTATTTCTATTTTTCATCATAAATGTGCTTGTAAGCAGATAAGTCACCATGAACATTCCTCTCTATCAATGAAAACCTTTTGGCATTGGGATCTCTGTTTTTAAGATTTTCAGGAGCTTGTTAAAATGGTCTGCAAAAGCTTCTGCTAAACCCTTCACTGTGACTTTTCTTGGGGGTTCTTCTCCTGCAGTTTTCTTTTTTCTTGTCTCTTCTTCAGCTGTACATTTCTGTTCCAGTTCCAACAATACCTCGTTAGTCATTTTCTCAGGAACCACCTCTAAGAGCACCTCAGTGTTATCTGCATCCACAGGTTCAAATGTTCATTCTCTCAACCGTGGTCTTGTCAGTTTTGAAGCCTTTGCACCATCATGTGGGACAACTGTGACATCACTAGGAGATAGTTTTTCAACTCCATTACCTTATGGAGCCACTGTTGTATATGTTGTCTGCCATGGACCAAAATATCATTTATTCAGTGCAGGGCTGTATTACAATTAAAAATTAAAATAAACACATGGATGATTTATATTAAGCATTAGAAATATGATTACCTATTGAAGAATAATATGCACATATATGAAAATTTTAGCTCTTTAAAAGCCAAAGACTGATACCCAATCCTTCTAATTTATACTAAAATAATTTATTTCTATGCTTTATTCTTTTCTGTTTTTATGCCAGTACTAT